GCCCGTGTCCAACACCCAATAGTCCAGGAGGTGCAGCTCTGCTCCAACCTTGGCAGATGCATCTCCTTGCTCCCCCTTGTCTCCCACATGGAAGAATTGGCCCGCGGTGCGCTCCTTCTTCTCCGCACCACCGTTGCCCTTCGGGTTGTTGTCGGACGAATCAGCGACCATGTTGGCGCCGTTTTTCTGGTTCCTCCGCGCGGTTGGTACTACGAGTAAGTGTGTTGCTTACGTGTATGGTTGATACTAAGAGTAAGTGCATTACATACCAGTATAGTTGGTATTATGCGTTATTGCGTTACTTACCCATATGGTTGGTACGAATAATAAGTGCATTACTTAACCGCATTCTTGGTACTAATGGTAATTGTGTTAATTTCCCATTTGGTTGGTATCAAGAGTAATTGCGTTACCTGGCTTTTTTTTTTTTGTACCAATATTCAACGCGCTACTTTTTCATTTGGTTGGTACTAAGTGTAAGTGTATTATCTACCTGTATGGTTAATATTGATAGTATGTGCATTACTTTCCAGTAGAGTTGGTACGAAGTGTAACTGTGTTACTTACCCGTATGGTTGGTACTAAGAATAAGTGCGTTACTTACTCGTACGGTTGGTACTAAGAGTAAGTTCTTTACTTACCCGTATGGTTGGTTCTAAGAGTACGTATATTACATACCATATAATGTTGGAAGTGCGATACTTTCCCATATGTCTAGTAGAAATAAGTAGTGTGTTACGTTCCCATTTGGTTGGTACAAAGAGATAGTGCATTAATTACGCAATGGTAGGTATAAAAAGTACGTGCATTACTTACCCAATAAGAGTAATTGTGTTAGCTATCCATATTGCTGGCACTAAGAGTAAGTGCGTTACTTTCCTGAATGGTTGGGACTAAGAGTACGTGTAGTACTTAACCATGTACTTGGTACTAAGTGTACGTGAGTTACGTTCCCGTATGGTTGCTACTAAAAATATGTGTATTACTTACCCATTCGGTTGGTACTAAGAGTAAGTGCGTTACTTACCCGTATGGTTGGTACTAAGAGCGTATGGCTGGTACTAAGAGTATGTGTGTTACTAACCTAGTTTGGTGGTACTATGAGTAAACATCTGCTGTTGCGACCACCGCTGCTGCTGTTGTCGCCACATCGATATATAAATTTAACAGGGCGGCATGGGCAGCAGGGTAGCAAGGGTGGCACAAGCAGTAGTTTAGTAAAAGCGACAGTGGCTAAGGGTGGCAAAGGCCATTAGAGGCTAGTGATGACATCAAATAGGGAGCCAAGAATAGCAAAGAGCCGCAAATGGCGGCGAAGGGTGGCAACAGGAAGCGAAGGGTGGCTAGAGAGCGACCAGGGTGGCGAATGGGCTGCCAAGGGCAGCAAAGGGCAGCACATGGCGATTAAGGGTGGCCTATGCTGCTGTTTGCATGCTGACGGTAGCCTATGGTGCTGCTGGCACATTAGTAGCGGCTTATGTTGCTGCTGCGTTGCTGGCGGCGGCCTAAGCTGCTGCTGACGCACTAGTGGAGGTCTATACTGCTGCTGGTGCACTAGTGAAGCTTTACACTATTGCTAGTATTGCTGGTGGCAGCCTGGCGTGGTGCTAGCGCTGCTAGAGTGCTGCTGTCGCGCTGCTACCTACTGCAGGCGGCTGCTGGTGTGCTGGCGACGGCGTGCCACGCTGCTAGCGCTGTTTTTGTGTAGCTGGCGCATTGCTAGCTGTTGCTGGCAGATGCTTGCGCGCTGGCAGCGGCTTGCTGCTGCTGCTGCTAGCGCGCGTCTACTGGTGGCGAGCGGGGCGACGCGCGGGACAGAGGCAGTAGAGCACGCGACGGGGCAGCGAGGCACGTGGGCGATGGGACAGCCAGGGCACGCGATGTGCCGGGCAGCGGGGCGCCTGGCGTCACGGGCCGCGGGGCGCGCGACGTGATGGGGAGTAGGGCAAGCGACGGGTCGGGCAGTATTGCACGCGACGTGATGGGCAGCAGGACGTGCTAGGGTGATGGGGCTGGCAAGTGCCGACATGCGGCTGTGATACGGGCAAGCAACGGGCGGCAGACGTACGATACCCTAAAACTGGGCGGCCAGCGGGTGGTGGTGCTACCAGGGAGCAACAAGTGGCGGACTATCGAACCCCCACTCGATGGAGGCGTAGGCAAAGGAGTGAGAGAACGTCGAAGCGTGAGTGACAAAGCATCTAACCGTAGACGATGCGAGGGCGAGCGACACCCAAGTGATGGGCGAGAGGAAGTGCAGACCTAACCTATCTGATACCATGTGAAAAGTACAATTGAACATAATTATTTGTAGGATAGCATAAAGGTTTCTATCAATCAAACATGTACCCTCTACAATATGCCCCAAACCTAGCCTACCAAACATATAACAAATATCGCTACACAGGTTGCGCCCTTGGTTCTAACTGTATGCTGTGGTCGTGCAATCGCTGAAGCTTATCAGGGAAAATTTTCCCGATTCTGCGAAGTTATCTGGAACGTCAACGTGCAGTTTCTGTAAATCACTCGGCTGCTTTGCTACCTCGGCTTTTTGGACGTAAACAGCGTGCACGTCAGCTCCTGGCGCTACAAGGTGTTTCATCGTGATAGCATTGACCGAACCAACGAAGACTTAGGCAGCTCTAGCGAGGTAGGGCAATGGTGATACCGTTGACTCACACGCTGTAGTCAACCGTCGTCCAGTGTACCCGCAAATTCTGTCATCGTAGCCAATTACATCCAAGTTAAATTGTCGGTTTTGCCAGCATTTACTAGGTGAATGCAAACTTAACCCACAACGGATCCGTATTCGGTTCACAAGTCCCCGTTTTGCCACCAGCGTGCCATCGACCAGCCTTGCACCGATTTCAGGTAAGCATCGGTTGATTGGCAATTGCAGTTTGCGTGTCATGATGGTATTAATAAGGACGCGACACCTGTTTTTATTTTGCCACGATCGATCGTGGGTGGGGATCGATATGCTGCTTGTATAGTGATTTGACGACGTCGTGCATGCCTGGTATCCGGTTTTTGCAGAACGTCGAGAAAGTTCAGTAAATGGGTACCCAGAATGGTGGCACCTGCAGCTCGCACGATCGATGTGCCATGGTGCACACATCGATCTTGCGTTTGGGTTGGCGGGAGAGCACATTGCGCCACAGGTGACAGACGCGATCGATCGGCGTCGCCCACGGTCACAGACCAATAATGATTGGAAAACAGCAGGCTCTCCATCACTCTGAATGGTTAACGACTAATTCGTTGGTGTATTTTGCTGCGGGACTTACCCGCCCGACCCATCAATTTCGATCCTGGCACCCAAGGCTCGGCGTGTTTAACACACTGCAAGTGTGTGCACATCGGTCTGCCGATCGATGTGGGAGAATCGGTGTATGGGTATCGATCCTCTCTCGATCCTGGCAAAATGAAAACATCTGCCGTGTCCTAAGCTATGACTAGCTAATTCTCCACACAATTAAGTCTGTGTGAATTTCCGGTTGAGCAGTATGGAGCTGTCTACCATTGTACCCTCCTTGTTCAGCCGAGTGTGATCGACTGGATGTCTTGCTCGCACAGCGTCAGGAATCCATTGGTGTGGTCTTGGACGGAGTCAAATTGACGCCAAGCGCACGGCTTTTGGCATGTGGAAATCGACGATACGGTTGGCTCGAACCTCCCGCGCAGACCCGCACACCCTATGCATTCTACGTGCGATACTGGGTTAGTCGCAATACGACGGTGCCCAGGGTACCGTGGGTCTAGAAGGCCCCTCCCCGTGTGGTAGCGGCTTGTAGTCATTCTACTTTGTGACGATGACATGCCATGTATCCATGGTGTCAAACTGTAATGCTTGTTGTTGGTTGTAGGCTGTAGTGGGGTAGCTTACATGGGGTACAACACATTCTAGGGTTTCTATTTGTATCCCAAGTCTTGCTTGTTCAACCATTCTTGCCAGTTATTCTGACATGGTATCAGAGCAGAAGGTCCTTAGGACCTGAGCTTCGTTTTCGTTAGGGGCCCACCAACCGCTCCCGGTTACCGCGCTACCCCACACACTGCCCCACCCTGAACGGCGCTGCCCCTTACTGCCCAGCGCGCCGCCCTGCAGCCGTCGCGCTGCCCTGCTTTGCCCCGCGCGCCCACCCAGCAGCCGCGCACTGCCCTGCTTTGCCCCGCACGCCCATCCCGCAGCCCGCGCTGCCCTGATTTCCCCCACGCGCCCGCCCCGCAGCCGTCGCGCTGCCCTGCTTTGCCCCGCGCGCCCACCCCGCAGCCCGCACTGCCCTGCTTTGCCCCGCGCGCCCACCCCGCAGCCCTCGCGCTGCCCTGCTTCGACCCGCGCGCCCATCCCGCAGCCCGCGCTGCCCTGCTTTGCCCCGCGCACCCACCCCGCAGCCCGCGCTGCCCTGCTTTGCCCCGCGCGCCCACCCCGCAGCCGTCGTGCTGCCCTGCTTTGCCCTGCGCGCCCACCCCGCAGCCGGCGCTGCCCTGCTTTGCCCTGCGCGCCCACCCGCAGCCGTCGTGCTGCCCTGCTTTGCCCGCGCGCCCACCCCAAAGCCCGTGCTGCCCTGCTGTGCCCCACGCGCCCATCCTGCAGCCCCTCCAGCTGCCGTTACTACCCCGCTTACTACTGCCCTGCCCTTTCAGCCCTTAAGCTATGGCTACCCTGCGCGTACTGACTTTTGATCCCGAGGGCCGCCCGATTGAGTTTGACACCTGGCTCGATAACCTGCAGTTGTTCCTTATGAGCGATAGCAAGGACGATGTCTCTCTCTTTGACCATGCGTCTGGCGCCTCTGTCGCTCCTCCTGCCACAGCTGAACTCAGTGCTCGCTCTCAGTGGCAGACTCGTGACGCTGCTGCTCGCCTAGCCATTCGCAACCACCTGCCGTTAGTAGACCGAGGTCACCCACTTTCGCGACTACAAGACAGCTAAGACCCTGTACGACGCTGTAGTTGCACGCTACTCCTCCCCCGCCTCAGCTAAGCTTAGTCGCCTCATGCTGCCCTACCTGTTCCCTGAGCTGTCCACCTTTGCTACAGTTGCCGACCTCATTACCCACCTTCACACTAGCGACACTCGTCTTCGGGCTGCCCTCCCCTCAGAGTTCTGTGCTAAGAACCCACCTCCGTTGTACTGGACGCTCCACTTCCTCGTCATCCGTCTCCCTGACTCTCTTCGTTCGGTCAGGGACCACTTTCTTGCTCGCTGTCCTACTGAGCTCACTGTCGACCTCCTAGAGGAGCAGCTGTTAGCCGCCGAGAAGAGCATCGTTACTGTAGGTGCCGCTCCTCGCACCCCCATCTTTGAGGGGTGCTCTCCCTCCCCCCTTGCTCCCTCCTTCGCTTCTGCTGCTGTTGTAGACCTCCTTGGTTCTGAGTCTGTTGGCGCTGCCTCTGCTTCTAGTGTTAGGCGTCGCACAGGCAAGGGCAAGGGGGTCAAGGGTGGTGGAGGCGGCACTTGGGGAGGCGGAGGAGGAGGCGGCGGCGGCGGTGGTGGCGGGAGTGGTAGCGGGAGTGCTGGCGGGAGTGGTGGCGGCGGTGGCGGCGAGGGCAGTGGAGGGAGTGGGGGCGGTGGAGGGAGTGGAGGTGGCGGCGGCGGTGGGGGCGGCAGGGGCGGTGGTGGCGGTGGCGGTGGTGGTCGGGGTGGTGGCGCCGGTGGTGGCCAGAGCCAGCTGCAGCAGCAGCGCCCTCAGACGACCCAGCAGCTTCGTGAGTGGCTTGCTCAGCGTGGGACGTCGGCGGGTAGTGGTCGGTGCCCGTACGTTATTCGCACAGGTGACCGCAGGGGGCAGACTTGCGGGAGGTTCCACACCCGGTACCGCTGCTTCTCCCGCCTTAAGGAGATGGGTGACGAGGTTGAGCGCCCTCGCTGGGCTGATCTGATGCGGGCTGGTGTCGATATCTTTGCCCTTGACTTTGATGCTATCATCTCTGCCATGTATGCATTGACTGTTAGTGCTGAGGGGGACTGTTACTTGTGTGTGCCGCCTGACCCAGGTATAGAGCCCGTTGCTTTAGGTGCTAGCGAGTCTGCACTCTCAGGTACTGTCCCTGGTGAGGCCTTGCACACGTTCACTCTTGACTCAGGTGCTTCTCGTTGTTTCTTTCGTGACAGCACTGCACTCACACCACTCCCTGCACCTGTTGCAGTCTCTCTGGCTGACCCCTCAGGGGGCCCAGTTCTTGCACGGTCCTCCACTGTGCTTCCTTGTCCAGCGGTTCCGTCAGGTGAGTTGTCAGGTCTCCACCTCCCCTCGTTCTCTACGAACTTGGTGAGCAACGCCGTCCTTCAGGATCACTGGGTTGACACCTTTACCCCTGGAGGACAGCGTGTGGCGATCTGTACGTGCTCCCGGACTGGCCGTCACTTCGCCACGTTCACTCGTGCGCCTAGGTCCAGTTTGTACATACTGACGACTGTGTCTCCTCACGCGACTGCTCACACAGCCACTGTTGGTCAGGTGTCTGCGTCAGGTCTGGTAGCCTCCCCTTGTTAATGTCGCTCCCTGTCGCACCGGGCTCTTCTCTGGCACCACCGCCTTGGTCACCCCTCCCTGCCACGCCTTCGTGGCATGCACCGTCGCCGCCTCGTGTCTGGTCTTCCCAGGTCTCTCCCCCCCCTCCCTGTCACATGATCGAATTCTCATTCAAAAACGTGTCACTAAAATTGAATACAAGGCGTTTTTATACTCGGAAATTACAAGGATAATAAGATAAGACGAACATTCAGGAACACACCCTTTCCCGATGCCACAATCACAAGTGCGCACAAGCACACAAGGCTATTGGCACTTGGGATTACGCCCAGATTACACCGTATACACCACTGTCGGCGCTGGCGGTGCCGTATAGTAAATGTGTCGGTAGGAAGAGCTCCAAGGTGCCGTTACGTCGTCGTCGGTGCGCCTGAACAGCTTCGACTTCGTACTCAGGTTCCCCATTAACGATCACTGGCGGTGGCGGCGGCGGTTGGCGACCTTTGAAGACCGTGTTTGGGTCCCGATATGGCTTGAGAAGTTGAACATGGAAGGCATTGTGAATCTTCCAAGTAGCTGGTAAACGCAAGCGGAAGGTTACTGGAGTGACCTGCGCCTCGACGAGGAAAGGTCCGCAGAAGCGAGGTCGGAGCTTAGACGGAAGATGGCTGATGTCGAGATTGCGTGTATCCAGAAGCACTTGATCGCCAATCTTGATGGAGTGATCGTTGCGACTCCGATCAGCGAGCTTCTTTTGCTGCTGCTGGATAGTTAGATGGCGTTTATGAGTGCGCTCCCACAACTGGTGCATAGCGGTAACGAAGCCATGTGCGGGTTGCATCGTGGCCGGTACTGTCGGTTTCTGAGGCGTGAGTGGATTTCGACCGTAACAGAGGAAGAAAGGGGTCTGTCCTGTTGCGGCGTGTGTAGCGTTGTTGTACGCAAACTCGAGAACCGGCAGGTGCGCATCCCATTTGGAGATATCATCCTTACACGCTGCTCGCAAAAGCTGTTCAACAATCTGGTTGAGGCGCTCTGTCTGACCGTCCGTTTGGGGATGATAGGCTGATGACATGGCGAGTTTGGTCCCCATGAGCGACATGAGCTCCTTCCAGAATTTACTTGTGAATTTTGGATCTCTGTCGGAGATCAGCGTGGTCGGAATGCCATGCTGCGAGATGACGTAGCGGAAGAATAATTGCGCTGTCTCCTCGGTGCGAGCCGTCGTGTGTGTCAGGATGAAGTGTCCCATTTTTGAGAATTTATCGATGACAACCAGGATGGCATCGTACCCAGCGTTGGTAGGTGGTAACCCGGTGATGAAGTCCAAGCTAACCACTTGCCAAGGCTGTTCGGGGACTGGAAGAGGCTGAAGTAATCCGGCTTTCTTCTGCTTGCTGCTCTTCATCCGTTGGCATGTGTCGCACGAGGTGACGAATTTTTGTACGTCATCCGCCATGTGGGGCCAATAATAATGCTTCGCAATACCGGCAAGTGTCTTGTTACTACCGAAGTGGCCCGCGTAGAGAACGTCATAATATTCTTCGAGTAGTAACTGCCGTAGAGGAGGGTAATTAGGTACCCATATTTTTGTGGATCCCTTGCGGTATGCGATGTCTTGATCCCAATGCATAAGATGGCGTTTTTCTGCTACAGAGATTTCGGGGTCGATAGTGTATCCATGCGTGAAGAGTCCCTTCAAGAGTGGGTTCATGCCATCGACTTGTAGGGCGGCAACATGTGCAGGGCGACTGAGTGCGTCTGCTTTGTTCTTGTGCCCCGGCTTATACACGATGTCATAGTGGAAGTGGGTTTCGAGGAAGTCAATCCACCGGACCTGCCGCCTGGAGAGTGTTGGTTGGGTCTTCAGATATTTGAGGCTGCAGTGGTCAGTGTAGACGGTCGTCTTTCTTCCTTCGAGATAACACCTCCATGCCTTAAACGCGTTGACGATGGCGAGGGCCTCTTTGTCATGGATGGGGTAATTGAGTTCTGCCCCGTGAAGTTTTTTACTAAGGTATGCAATGGGTTGTAATCCCTTCCCTTGGTCTTGCATGAGTACTGCGCCCACAGCTTGATCACTAGCGTCGGCCTCGATGACGTAGTCAAGTTCGGGGTCAGGCAGGATGAGTACAGGTGCGGACGTGAGTGCGGTTTTCAGCTGTTCCACGGCTTCCTGGTGCTTCGCCTCCCACTGGAATGGTGCATTTTTCTTCAACATGTTAGTCAGTGGTGCGGCGATCTTGGCGTAGTTTGGTACGAACCGGTTGTAGTAGTTAGCGAATCCGAGGAACTGCTGCAACTCCTTCACGTTCTCGGGGGTCTTCCATGTTCGCACTGTTTCGATCTTCTTTGGATCCACGTGAACTCCCTGAGCGCTCACCATATGTCCGAGGAATTGGACCTTCTTCAGTGCGAACTCGCTCTTGGATAGTTTCACGTAGAAGCGTTCTCGTCGGAGAATTTCGAAGACGCGTCGCAGATGCTCAACGTGCTGCTTCATGTCTTTTGAGTAGATCAGGATGTCGTCCAAGTATACCACCACGCACTCGTCCAGAAGGGGCCGAAGGATGTGGTTCATTTCTGCCTGAAATGTGGCTGGCGCGTTGGTGAGTCCAAACGGCATCACAAGATACTCGTACGACCCGTACCGAGTTCGGAGTGCAGTTTTGTGGATAGAGTTGTCCGCCATTCGAATTTGCCAGTATCCCGTGTCAAACATTATATATGTTGTGTTTGTTTAGGCTACAGTGGGTTAGCCTATAGGGGGTACACAATTCTAGGGTTAGGTACTTGTACTGATTTCACTGTTAGTTCAATCATTCCTGTCCGTTCATTCTGACATGGTATCAGAGCAGGTCCTTCACTAGGACCGTTTTAGGGCCCACCGCTACCTACCTACCTACCTACCATGCGCTCTCGTGCGCCCTCGCGCCCTCGTGCGCCTCTTACTACCGTGCGCCCTCGTGCGCCCTCGCGCCCTCGTGCGCCTCTTACTACCGCGCGCCCTCGTGCGCCCTCGCGCCCTCGTGCGCCTCTTACTACCGCGCGCCCTCGTGCGCCCTCGCGCCCTCGTGCGCCTCTCCCTACCGCGCACGCACGGCCTGCTAGCCACCCGCGCGCGGCCCGCTTTCCGCGGCGTCGTCGCCAGCCCGCGGCGTCGTCGCCTGCCCGCGGCGTCGTCGCCTGCCCGCGACGTCGTCGCCTGCCCGCGGCGTCGTCGCCTGCCCTCGTCGCGTCGACCTGCCCGCGGCGTCGCCACCTGCCCGCCGCGTCGCCCTGCCCGCGGCGTCGCCACCTGCCCGCCGCGTCGACCTGCCCGCGGCGTCGCCACCTGCCCGCCGCGTCGACCTGCCCGCGGCGTCGCCACCTGCCCGCCGCGTCGCCCTGCTCGCGGCGTCGCCACCTACCCGCCGCGTCGCCCTGACCTAATCCGCCTCTCGCCCCTGGAGCAGCCGCCACTGCAGCAGCAGCCCCTGGAGCAGCCGCCACTGCAGCAGCAGCCCCTGGAGCCGCCCGCCACTGCAGTAGCAGCCCCTGGAGCCGCCCGCCACTGCAGCAGCCCCCCCTGGAGCAGCCCGCACCTGCAGCAGCCGCCCCTGGCCCCTGGAGCCGCCGCCACTGCAGCAGCCGCCCCTGGCACCTGGAGCAGCTGCCGTCGCGGCCCGGCCTCGCCCTGCAGTTGTAGTGGCCCCGCTGTCGCCACCGTCTTGCGCCTGCCGCGCCGACCACTGGTGAGCATTGCCCAGCACTACTATCGCTGCTACTGCTGCTACTGCCTTTTCTACTCCCACTGCCACAGCTCCTGCTGTTACTACTGTTGCTGCCGCTACTGCTACTACTGCTGCTCCTGGCGTGGCCAGATGCAGCTCCAGGGCCGTGCGCGTGAGTCCCTCACGCCCCAGCAGCTTCGTGCGCATGAGTGGTACGCTAGTTGGGGCTGTCGGGGTGGCCGTAGTGGTGGTCGCTCTGGAGTGGGTCGGTCGGGAGCTTCTGGTAGTGGACAGGTGCAGCTGCCGTGCCCTCCTTCGCCCCAGCTGCTTCGTGCGCGTGCGTGGTACGCTAGTTGGGGCTGTCGGGGTGGCCGTCGTGGTCGTCGCTCTGGAGTGCGTTGTTCGGGAGCATCTGGTAGTGGACAGGTGCAGCAGCAGTGTCCTCTTACGCTCCAGCGGGCCCGTGAGTGGTACGCCAGTTTGGGCTGTCGGGGTGGCCGTAGTGGTAGTCGCTCTGGCGTGCGTTGTTCGGGAGCATCTGGTAGTGGACAGGTGCAGCAGCAGTGTCCTCTTACGCTCCAGCGGGCTCGTGAGTGGTACGCGAGTTTGGGCTCTCGGGGTGGTGGTCGTGGTAGTCACTCTGGAGTGCGTCGTTCGGGAGCTTCTGGGCGCGGACCGGTGCAGCTGCCGTGTAGTGTGAGTGAGGCTGCCGCTCTAGGTGCTAGTGAGACCGCCACTGCAGGTGCTCGCGTGTCTGCCACCTCAGGTGATGGTGAGGCTGCTGCTCTAGGTGCTAGTGCATCCGTGCCCGCTGGTACTGAGTCGACTGCAGCACTGCACACCTTCACACTGGACTCTGGTGCTTCTCGCTGTTTCTTTCGTGACCGCACTGTCCTTGAGCCACTCGCTCGGCCAGTTGCTGTCTCCCTCGCTGACCCCTCTGGGGGTCCGGTCGTTGCAACCTCCTCCACTGTCCTTCCTTGTCCTGCGGTCCCGTCAGGCACACTGTCAGGTCTCTACCTCCCCTCGTTCTCTACGAACTTGGTGGCGGGTAGTGCGCTCCAGGACAGGGGTGTCCACCAGTTCACCCCTGCTTACGAGCGCGTGACCCACTGCACGTGTGCTCGGACGGGCCGTCACCTGGCTACCTTCACTCGGCAGCCGGGGTCGGACCTGTACACACTGACCACTGAGTCCCCTCAGGTCGCTGCGTCCGCGTCTGCGTCTGCGTCAGGTCAGCTGTCCGCCCCCTGCTCATGTCGCTCTCTGGCGCATGAGACTGTCCTCTGGCACCACCGCCTTGGTCACCCGTCTGTGCAGCACCTTCGGGCCATGCACAAACGGGACCTTGTTGCTGGTCTTCCCAGGGTTCTCCCTCCCCTCCCACCCTCGCCTGCTCCTCCCTGTCTTCCCTGTGTCGAGGGACGGCAGCGCGCCGCTCCTCACTCCTCCTCCTTCCCCCCGACGACTGCTCCTTTGCAGACGCTCCACATGGACGTGTGGGGCCCAGCCCGCGTCCGTGGTCAGGGTCAGGAGAGGTACTTCCTGATTGTTGTTGACGACTTCTCGCGCTACACCACGGTCTTCCCCTTGCGCGCCAAGGGTGACGTCCCTGATGTCTTGATCCCTTGGATCCGCAGATCTCGTCTCCAGCTCAGTGAGCGTTTCCGCTCCGACTTCCCTGTCCTGCGTCTGCACTCTGACAGAGGTGGGGAGTTTTCCTCTGGCCTCTTGGAGGCCTTCTGTCAGCAGGAGGGCATTGAGCAGTCGTTCACACTTCCGGCCTCTCCACAGCAGAATGGGGTTGCTGAGCGCCGCATTGGCTTGGTCATGGAGGTCGCTCGTACCTCCTTGGTTCATGCGGCTGCCCCCCACTTTCTGTGGCCGTTTGCAGTCCGATACGCTGCGCATCAGCTCAACCTCTGGCCCCGTGTCTCCTTACCGGAGACTTCTCCGACACTGCGTTGGACGGGAGAGGCTGGCGATGCGTCGCGTTTTCGGGTCTGGGGATCTCGAGCTTTTGTTCGCGACACGTCCGCGGACAAGCTCTCCCGTCGCGCTGTCCCCTGTGTCTTCCTTGGCTTTGTCCCGGACGCGCCTGGTTGGCAGTTCTACCACGCCACCTCGCGTCGTGTCCTTGCCTCTCAGGACGTCACTTTTGACGAGTCCATCCCCTACTACCGCCTCTTCCCCTACCGCACTGCCCCGCTCCCCCCCCCGCCTCTCTTCCTCGCTCCAGGTGCTGAGGTACCAGACCCCCTCCCCCCTCAGGGTGCCGCTCCCTCAGGTGTGTCCCAGGTAGACCCGGTTGAGCCTGTCGAGGTAGCTGTTGACTCTCGTCCTGCTGGGGGTACTGAGCCTGCCCGTGAGGAGTCTGGGGGTGCGGAGCCTGGGGGTGCGGAGCCTGGAGGTACTGAGCCTGGGAGTGCGGAGTCTGGAGGTGCTGCGTCTGGGGGTGCTGCGTCTGGGGGTGCTGAGCCTGGGGGTGCTGAGCCTGACCGTGCTGAGTCTGGGGGTGCGGAGCCTGGGGGTGCGGAGTCTCGAGGTGCTGAGCCTGGGGGTGCTACGTCTGGGGGTGCTGTGTCTGGAGGTGCTGATCCTGAGCGTGCTACACCTGGAGGAGCCCTCTCCTCCCAGCAGCTGCAGGAGAGGTACCTACAGTACTGCCGCCTCCGGAGAGGTGCTACTGGAGCTCGTACCAGTACTTCCCCTCCTACCCAGGAGCTCCCCCCCATTCAGCAGATCCGAGAGTGGTACGCGCGGCGCTGCAGTCTTCGGAGTGGTGCTCCTGGTGCTGCGGACCCCAGCGGTGGCGCTGCTGCTGGTGCTGAGGACCCGGGCGTTGGAGCTACTGCTGGAGCTGAGGACCCGGACGGTGGAGCTGCTGCTGGTGCTGAGGACCCGAGCGGTCGAGCTGCTGCTGGTGCTGAGGACCCGGGCGTTGGAGCTACTGCTGGAGCTGAGGACCCGGACGGTGGAGCTGCTGCTGGTGCTGAGGACCCGAGCGGTCGAGCTGCTGCTGGTGCTGAGGACCTGGACGGTGGAGCTGCTGCTGGTGCTGAGGACCCTGCCGCTGGTGTCGCTGCTGGTTCTGGAGACGCTGCGCGGCCGCGACCGTACTTCATACCACTTCTTCAGCAGGTTCTTGGTCAGGCTCCTCCTCCTTGTCCTCCTCCCTCCGTAGCGTGTCCTCCGCCTGTCCAGTCGCAGTCCCAGTTCCCGCCTGCCTCGCCTCTCCCTGCTCCCTCTCCTTATACTGGTCCCACAGGAGGTCTTACAGAGCGTCGTGAGCCTGAGTCTCGTCCTGCGTCGCCTGTTCGTACTGCTCGCACTGGTCGTCGTGTCCCACGTGAGCGTCCTCCTCCTGTCCCTGGCACTCACTACATGACTCTGCGTCCCTCCACTGCTCCTCAGCGTGTCCCGCTGCCGTCTCCTCCTGCGTCCTCTCTGCCTACTCTTCCTGATCCGGAGTCTGACTCCCGTCGTGCTGCCAGTCCCACTGTCACCCGTCTCCTCGCTACTGTTGTCATTGACCCTACCTTTGAGTCCTCTGCTGCGTCTGCTCTGGTCGCTGAGTTGATCGACTTTGCTGCCCGGTGTCGTCTAGACTACGCCACTAGCCTTGTTGCTGAGTCTGAGTCTGAGTCTGTCTGTCCTCCGTCCGTCGGGGGTGAGTGTGCTCTTGGCACGGACGTCCTTGAGGACAGACAGGAGGATTTCCAGTGCTTTGCTGCTGCTTTACCCCACCTCGTGTCCATGCTAGTTGCCCCTGAGGGAGACCCGGATGCACCAGACATCCCGACCCCGCGCACTTACGCAGAGGCGATGGCGGGTCCCTACTCCTCTCAGTGGCAGACAGCCATGGACGCAGAGATGGCTTCCTGGAAGTCCACAGGCACCTACGTCGACGAGGTTCCCCCACCTGGGGCGAACATCGTCAGTGGCATGTGGATTTTCAGGGTGAAGCGGCCGCCGGGTT